ATTCAAGTGGTCATAGATGTTATAATTACACAAAATGATTTTGCTCAGATAGAGTACGCTATATTTATCATCCGAAAAGAGACGTATACAACATTACTTTGCTATATGAATATCCGAAAGAATAAATCGTTTAAAAATGAAAATGACCAATTTCGAGCCTGAGGTTGGCGGTCAGGCTCCTCCACCCCTTTCTCGGCATTGATAATCTTTTCGTGCAGAAAAGGTGACGATTAAGTGAAAAAGGAGGAAGAGTATACATTCTTGCTTGTAAGTTGGATGATACATGGCATGCATTTCTACCACTAGTAGTTATAGGATTCTTTCATGTATGGTACAGAGTGATCAATGTCTCAATGTAGGTAAGAAAAATGTTTGTTGTACATTATCATTTACATATTTTTCAAGCTATTGATGAGGTGTCCAAAAAAGTGGGAAAGTTTATTTCATTTATTTTTTGATTGATGTGATTTTGACACAATCAAATCTCAACAAATCATATGTTGGTAAAACAATATATAAATTGTGATGTACATGTAACACAATCATTTATGTAATTACTTGATTCTTAGGAGTACACGAAGTCTACCTCAATCTTGTGAGTAATTTTTTTAAGATCACTTTAGGAGGATATTAAAAAATTTCACCCTCTATTTTCAGAGTAAAGGAAGTTTTGGACAATTTTAGCCTTTTTAATCACACATCATGTTTGCGTGCGTGTCACGTGGACATTTAACGTCTAAATAGACAATTTCATCAAGTTGGAATACCGTTTACAACCACAGTATTGAAAGATTGAAGACGTGTATGTTACAAATGAAAGGTATGAGACATGATTGCCACAGTTGTGAAAGGTTAGGGACCCTTGAATTCATTTCTCTTGTTGGGCTTACAAAATTATTGAGCCGTTTCTTTGTCCATAAGGCCTGGCCCAACATAGCCCAGCAGTCAATGATTTGAGGGAGTAAACCCTTGCAAAACCCTAATGGTCCCATAAAATCCGATTTCTCCCTATATTAATAGACTCGGACGCACCCATTTTACACATCGTCTTCCTGTCTCTTTCTCTGCGGGGCTGCTCTTCGTTCTTCTGCGTAATTAAACCCTTCTTAATAAGTTTTCTAGTTTTAATTAATTAAATCATGTTTCTTCTGTTCGTGGTCACGAATGCCTAATTAGGCACATCTGTTTTGATTTATATATATATTTTCTGTTGATTTTAGGTTATATGATATTTGTTTTGTTTAATTAATTGGGTATGATGGTGATTTCTGGATGATGAATAAATCAGACGGATTCCCAATGAAAAAATCCATGATTTCAATTACCAGCTATTTCTGACTCTTCATCATCATTATTTAATGCCCCCAATTTCTTCAAATTACTTTAAATTTGTTTTAATCTCAATTTATATTGTATTCTATTTCTGCAAATGTAATTTATTTATATTCGCTATAATCTGCTTTTGGCGGCCGATGATGTGAGAAAATATTTGCTACTCTTGATGGGATTCATCCCATCTGATGATTCATTTCCACCAAGATCTCTGAGGCCGCAAGCGTCTGACTGTAAGCCCCTGTTTAGATTTTGCTAGAAATCAATTTTTTGAAGAATCTCATACTTTGAAAATTGAAAATTTTAAATTAGAAATAGTGGCCCTGAAAAGGAACCTTTATACCAGTGAACACTCTTTATATTTCAAAATTGAAAACTAGGCAAAGTAATATTTGTTAAAAGCAAATCCATGGATTTGATGAGATTTCACATTTATTTCGTCATAATTTAGTTTAGGGTCAATCAAAATATGAAATTTATATGGAAAGAAAATAAATTTTTAGTAATTTAATTATTTAGAATTTAGTTGTATCTAAGTTTTATTTGATCCTCATTAAATTAAATTACATTATATTCTATTTTTTTCTCTTTTTTTCAACCACATAATTTTTCATAAAATAATATTATACGTAAATCGAAAATTGTTCCTTCTTTTTCAACCATTCATTTTTCTAAAACATACTATTTTCCTTATTTTTATTTTCAAATAATGGGGGTCAAACAAGGGCTAAATTATTAATTAGATGTGTTTCATTATTTTATTTTTTTTTAATTGGGGGTAAATGTGAGAGAGAAGGGGTGGGGGTGTGTGTGTGTGTGAGTGTGAGTGAGAGTGAATCACTTGAAAAATTAAGATCACTTTTCTTAAATAAAATGTTATCCTTGTTTGTGAGGAATATATGTTACATAATTAAAAGATTGAAAATTTAGTTAATCATAAGTTATAAAATATTTTTCATGAAGATAATTGTCAATTAAACGTTCTAAAAGTAAGATTATGAATAAAAAATGATATTTTTCATAAAAAAAAGGTGAAAAAATATACATTCATTTAAATGTTATAAAATGCAAATGAATCTATACAATAATTGATAATGGAAATTGATTCTTGAGAAAGCCCTATATGAGTCCATTATTTCGAACGTGTCCTTAAAAGGAAAATATTTCAACTTACGAATAAAATTACTTCAAAGATACGGTTGAAAATAAATTTTTGAAAAAATAGGGTTAAATATAAGCAAACTATCAAAACAAGACATGAGCTAAATGTATTGAATACCCATGATAAGGTAAGAGGAGAGCTTGATGTGATAGACAAGAGACTAATCCTATTATAAATGTTGAACCTCAATCTTGAGGGTCTCCACCATTCCATCGCTAGAGTTTTGTAAAGGAGGTAAATCGTGGGATGTGCTCCAATAGGTCAGGGAACAAGAATTGCATGTACACTGCGCCTACAAAGAGTTCAATTTCATATTTCAGGAATCGAACCTCCACACTGCGATTGCTAGCAAGGCGTGAAATAACCTCACTTCTATCCTTTGCACCATTGAACTATGCCCCGGGGGCCGAGACTAATCCTATTATAATACCACTCAAAGTTGTGTAAAGTGAACACAACCAGCAAAAGTACTAGGATCGATCCTAACCAATCTTCAAACTTTCGTGATCTTAATACAAGGTCTTCTATATGCAATTTATAATTTATTTATATATGTAAATATTGAAAGAGATAATATTATGGTGTCTTTCATCTAATCGAAACATTGTCCACGTTTGGCCCTCATTTTTTTCAAATTTTAATGTTTGGAACAATATTATAAAAATCGATTCGGGTATTGACCCAGAAAAGGAAGAGGGTCGAGGTTTAAATAGTCAAATCAGGTCGAACCGGTATCGAACCGGATGACAAATTAAATAAATAAATACACAAATAAACTATAAATATCATAACTATAATATATTTTTAAATTTTAGTTTTCTCATTCAAAATAAATATAATCAATATTTGTTAATTAGATTTATTATAATAATTTATTTTATAACCTTGAAGACTAACAATTAATATGTCCAAAATAATTTGGTTTGTTCAAATTGAAAATTCTAATCTTGTTGACGGTTTATTAGCCGATTTTTTTTTATTTTTGGGTTAGTTTATGAGTATCGAAACGAATTAAAGGTCGGTTCACGATTTTTTCTGTTGAACTGGCCGGTCCTGTCCTATTTTTATAACATTGGCTTGGAATAATGTTTTTTTAAAGAATGTGTGGTTGAAAAATAATCAAAAGTTTTCAATTTATGTGTAATATTATTTTATAAAAAATTGTATAGTTGAAAATAAGAGAGATAAAAAAATGACACGGAATAGCGGCCAAACGGAAGCTATATAACAAAATATATATCTTATAATCATGATCAGCCTTCAAAATAATAATAATAATAATATTATTATTATTATTATAAAGAAATTAAAAATTTCACTAAGGAGCATGGATATACTTTTATATTTGCGGAAAATTTTCAGAACTCATGGATTATAAATTGTCAAACATGGGATGGACTGTTTTAGAGTCTATTTGGAAGTGATTTTTTCTCCCAAAAAATTAATTTTTTTTATCGTTATTTCACTATTCTAGCCATCATATTTGACTTCTTCTCTCATAGGTGGACCACACTTTTCTCCTAACGATCAAAAAATCAATTCTCAAAATCACTCCCAAACAAGCTCTTAAAATATTATCCAAAATCAATTCTCTTATAAATATTCAAAGTCGATACTTTAAAATATGCCCATAATCGGTACCCAAAAATTTCCAAGTAGGCGCTATAGGATTCAATATCCTTGTTTTGAAATCTCTCTCTTTTTTTTTTTTTTTTCAAATCTTAGCTTTCAGGATGCACAATATATAGAGCCTATTTGGGAGTGATTTTGAGAATTGATTTTTTGATTGTTAGAAAAAAATTGGGGTCCACTTGTGAGAGAAGAAGTCAAATATGATGACTGAAATAGTAAAATTAAGGTCAAAAAATCAATTTTTGTGTCAAAAAATACTCCCAAACAAGCTGATAAGCTAATTATTAAAATTGAAGTTTAGTGATCGAATTTCAACTAGAGTGAAAGTTTAATGATCGAATTGTAACTAAGACGAAAGTTAGTGACTTAACCCCTTTTCTGCCCAAAAGAAAATGCATAATCCCCCGAGGCACAGCTCAACTGGTGGATCAATGAACATTGTCTTACTTCCAGTGGCAGCGTGGAGAGTTCGATTCCTGGTGGGAACCTGCGGTCAAATATTTGATATGGAGCAATCACTGTGGAGGAGTGTCTCTTGTGCGCAGAAGTGTACAAGCAATGGGGGGAACCTATGATCCAGTTGAGGCATAACCCGCAATTTACCCCTCCAATATTTTAGGGGCAAGAGTATTGGGGGTCCAGGATTTAGTTTGATGTAAGTTGGGATACCTAGATATCAAAAAAAATAAAAATGCACACACGTACAAAAGAAGGGGTATGAGGCACGCGTCCGATAATAATTGGTAATGAGCATTCGTCCTCACCAACAATGAAATTACCAAGATACCCTCCAGAAACGATTACTTGTGCCAAACCTGAGGACAGTTTTGGTAAATCACATCCCGATATCAGCCCTTTACATCCCCATATCCAGATCTTTCTCTCATTTCCTCTTTCCCCTTCAAATGTTCTCTTCTCATCTCCTCTCCCTATAAATTCCTTTTATACATATAAAAGCTTCCTCTTTCAAATTCTTACCGCTCTAATTCGTACGCTACTAGTTTCTTATCGAATTTCACGAACATACATACGATTCGAACCATAGATCTATCATTTTTTCATCGAAAAGGTCCAATTTTAACTTTCTTTATTAAAATTTTTCATTTTCTTGGCTTTCTTTTCTCGGTTTTGATATTCAATCATGTGTTTTCTTCGCAATTATGCTCGTTTTATCAGTTAACTTCGAGTATCTTATTTTTGCCCTATTTGTTCAGGTGTTCTGTAGCTCTTAGATCTAACCCTTTTTTTTAATCTAATTAAATGGATTTTCTGATTGAAGATTGAATTTTGTCACCATATCCATCATTTCACTTTTTCTATTATTTGAATTGAGCAAACAATGATAATTAAAAATGATGGGTCAAAGGCGATTATTTATTTAGTTTTTCCTGGGTTCTCTTTGAGCGTTGTATTGACTGGTGTTATCTGTTATCCTATAAAAAATATTTAGGTATTCTGAGAAGGTGGTAAAGAAGGATCGTAGAAGGAAGATCTACAGAAAACAAGTGATTTGATGGCGGATCCTCAGGGGATGGAAGGGAGCCAACCTGTAGATCGCTCCAAGCATCCATCTGGAATTGTCCCTACACTCCAGTTAGATTTCCATATTTATAATTTATTTTCTTTATTCCCTCTGCTGTTTTATTTTGCGTATAGCACAAATGATTAACTCCCATTTAAAGTTAAATGGGCAGTTTACAGAAATCTGTGTATATTTTGGGAAAAAAAATGTTTTCAAGAGGGTTGTTCATTTAATTTGTAGGGTTCTTTAAGTTGCACAAGTCAAGACCATTTGACAGGAGAAATCAACTCAGCAATCGAAAGGGTTCTTAAACTGCATGGACTTTGTTAATTCTATTTGAGGGAAAGGCTTGTGTATAAGTGTGTATTTTGTTTCTAGGAAATTAAATAATTAAGAGTGTGTCTGGGAGGAATTTTATACCAGATATTAATTATTTTTATAACCATTGCGGCTGCACCCACCTGCTTTTTTTTTTTTTTTGGGACCCATTTGCAGTTTCACAATAAAAAATTTTCTGATGAAAATCTTCTTCGAGAGTTCTAGCTGTTCTTTGAAAAGTTCCTTTACACTATATATGTTAAAGGAACTCAAAATCAAGGAATGGTGTCAATGGAATCTTCTGGTTCTCGAAGGTCACTTTGTCAATCTCTAACAATAAAATATACTGGTGATTTTGTACGTGCAGGAATATTGTGTCGACGGTCAATTTGGACTGCAAGTTAGATCTTAAAGCTATTGCATTGCAAGCTCGTAATGCGGAATACAATCCCAAGGTATGTTGTTCCCATGATATGCCTTGTTTAACTTGTTTATTGATCATTAGTTTTATTTCCTTGTGTGATATATCTAGTAGTATCGCTGGCTACATTTATACTGCTTATTTATTTGTTTATTTTTACACTAATATGTATGGAAAGTGTTCATATACTGTTTAAAATATTAGATATTAGATAGAAATGAGTGGTGGAAAAGTAGGTAGAGTTTGTGAGTCCCATTGGTTTGGCAGGTTATAAACCGTTTATAAACATTAGCCAAACATGGGCTTAGCTATTTGACCTTTTGTTTGTGCACAATTTGATTTCTAGAGGTAACTTTTGGTTGATATTTGGCTTCCGGGCTTTGCTAACAAATTATAAACGACATTAACATGTTTTGTCATAATGGTGGGTGAACACCTAAAAGGGAAAGTTCGGATAAAAATGAATTATTTGATTTTTTGTTTTCACAGAATGAGAGGGATGAATTTATTAAGATCCAATGTCAAATTCTTCAGGTAATGGAACAGAGGCTTTTTAGCCATTGTTTACGCAAGCTTTTTGGGGCTTACACAATTCTTCCCTCACATGAGGCTAATATAAAACACTTTAAAGCCTTTCATTGAGTGCCATTAATAAACGGGAAAGTAGGGATAAAATTAATAGATTTGATTTTTTATTTTCTTTTATCTAGAGAACTTCTATTAAGATCCAATGTCAAATTCTCTAGGTTATGAGACTTTGGCTTTTAAGTTTTAGCCTTTTCCATTTAGGCTTTTAATCATTTTTTAGCTGCCTCGCTTTGAGAACTGCTGAAAGATCACTCCTCTCTGTCTATTTCCTTGGGCAATTGCTTCTCCTATAGCATTTCTGTGAAGATATATGTATTTACCAATTACCAAAGCATCTTTTTATCGTGAAATGTGTTATACTCAATATTTGGTTGCCTTAAATCCTTCTGTATCGGAGGTCAGTTTATCAGTGAGATTTGTATATACAAGTCGTAAGGTAGGTCAGATCACAATACTTTCTTCACATACGTCAGATGCCAAAAATGACAAAGCAATCAAGCATTTATGATCAACTTGGATTTTTTTTATAAAACTTCTACTTCACTGATGGTTGACGTTAACTGGCCGTGTGAAGCTAAAGCTCGGGCTTCATATTTTCTGCAATATCTTATATGCTTTTTCACATGGCGGACCGTCATTATAAACATCTTATGTGTCATATTTTACAGATGTTTGCGTAAGTTGATGTTGTGAACATTTTTACTTAAAGATGTAACACTCCAAAGAAACTATTTCACCTCTTCCCATCTCTCTTAGGGGCATGGAAGAACGAAGAAAAGTATCATATAGTTTATTACTTATGGTTAATAATTTTTTCATGGTTTTCAGCGTTTTGCTGCGGTGATCATGAGGATCAGGGAACCCAAAACGACGGCCCTAATTTTTGCTTCTGGAAAGATGGTAAGAACTAAATATTTTCTTTATAATGCTATACATGGTTTGAACATTGCCTTATGTTCTTTATTTCTATTTTATAGCCCATTTATGTTTTGTTTATACCAATTTATTTTGATGTTTATCTTGGAACTTCTCATTTGTTCATCTTCTGTTGATCTCAATCACAGTCGAATTCTGTCTGCCACTGAGTAGCACTAGACAGGCCTTTCTCATTTTTGGTAATTTCCTTATTAGCTATTTTTTATATGTTGCTTCAGGTTTGTACAGGAGCCAAGAGTGAACAACAGTCAAAATTGGCAGCTCGGAAGGTATAATATAATATGAAAGAATTAATTTGTCTATTATAATTGCGCTTATAATGTCTGTTTCGGTTCAATCTTTACCAGGTGGATTTGAAAATGATGTGTAAAGAACCTTTATGTTGACCGATGATTTTTCTGCTAATTTTATGAATTTGAATTAGTTGCATATGACCATTTGCCTGGTCATAATTTTTGAGATGAACTTTTTCTTACGTTATTACATATCTCATGTCTGCGCGTGTGTTGTTCTTTTCAGTATGCCAGAATTATTCAAAAGCTTGGTTTTCCAGCAAAATTTAAGGTAGTTATATGCTCTCAAGCGTTGATCCGTAAAACACACACCCCTGGCACTCAATGAGATGAAATGACACTTCTCCACTATTCTGTTTCAAATTATGCCTTCATTTTTCTTGTAGGATTTCAAGATTCAAAACATAGTCGGCTCCTGTGATGTTAAATTTCCCATTAGACTTGAAGGTCTTGCATATGCTCATGGTGCCTTTTCAAGTGTGAGTTATTCAATGTTTTATTATATCTTTCATGTTGGAATCACTGACAGCGGGGACAAGATTGCTCCATTTGTGCTTTATGGTGTTTTGGTTATCATTACTTTCTCTTTTTAGAAAGTCTATAACTATAGGTCAATAATACTACAACTAAAAGTGAATCCTACTTTATGGTATATCCGACAAATAACAAAGACATGTTTATTGAAGTATTGATGTTTCATACGACTTAATTAGGAATATCTAAAATCTTGAACATATTATATTGTTTAATTTTATATCGCTTTAACTCTTTAGGCATTACAAGGGCTCAAAGAGAAGAATTGTTTATGGAAATTCTATCATACAGTAAACATGGAGACAAATGTGTCGTAAACAATCTGACCTAAAACATAAGTTGTCTCTTTACAAGCCAGGGCCTCCAAGAAATATAAGTTTTGCATATGTTTTAGTTTATGAAGCATTTCTGTTAATAGTATGTACGTGCTAGGATGTAATAGGTGCATAGCACTTGATATACTAACAACATTATGGCATTTTTTTTTTCTAATATATATGTTTTAGAAAAATTGTCGAAATTTGCCCTATACACACTTCATCTAAAAGGAGGCACAAAATACCAAAATAATTAGGTTCAAGTTGCCCAATTTTTGTTTTGAAACTCTGGTTTCCCATGAATTTAACTAATTGAATTCATTTTCTCAATGAAGTTTTGTCCCATGAAATTTTCAGCACTCAGAGATGGAAAAATTGGACTAAAAAACATTCTTTTATTTCAATACTATATATCAAGTAACCTAATCAAAAGCTTAAGCCTGCGTATGGTAAGAATGTATTAGCGGTTTAATTTATAAATATAAATGAGTGGTGGATAAATGGATAGTGTTTGTGGGAACATTGGAATTTGTGGTTGAAAATAAAGTTTGACAATTTATAAATTATTTATAAACTTTGCCAAGCAGAAACTAAATTGTTAATTTGAAGAATAGAATAATTTATTTATTTATATTCAAGTTTAAATTGTTGAGAAGAAAGTATTTTATTTGTTTAGATTTTATTGTAAACTCTGAAATGTATTCAAAAGACAAGGCTGAGAAATAGTCATATCATACAGTAATCCTTTCCATTTTTTATTACAGATTGAGTTAGATTCATTGCATTTAATTTCTTTGCCTTTTACAAGAAAAAGAACTGAGCTATTAGTGATAATAAATCCTACAAAAACCTGAAAGTTGAAATGTAAAAGAGCATCAATTAAAATAATGATACGACCATATGAACCAACAAGGGGAAAAAAGGTACATGCATGCAACAAGAAGGAAAAAAGTATGCATGTATGCACCCGAACACAGATCTCAGAGTAATGGATGAGAATTGAATGATGATATAATCAAAGATAATAACAAAAATATTGAATAGTATGTTGTGAAACTATTTATATTCCACTATTTATCAGAGGACGAATTGAAAATAATAAAACAATAGCAAGGGCATTATGATTTTTCTTGGGTTGAGGAGCTGGAGCGTTGACTTAATTACTGGTTCCCTTTATTGTTAACGTACTAATGACGTCATCTGTTGGTACAGTATGAACCAGAACTATTCCCTGGATTAATATATCGGATGAAACAACCAAAGATTGTGCTGCTTATTTTTGTCTCAGGGAAGATTGTTCTCACTGGAGCAAAGGTATTCGACATATTGCTTTTCTTATTGTTGTATTAATTCTCCATGCCGTGCATGTGTTACTATTAAATAATACCCGCAGGTCAGAGACGAGACATATACTGCATTCGAGAATATCTACCCAGTTCTCAATGAGTTCCGTAAAGTCCAGCAATGGTATGAAAACTGATTTTTTATGTTGTGCACGTAGTTTCAATTTCTAGTGAATTCTGTAGGCAACTTGTGTTCATTACTTGATAAGTAGTTTTCTAGTTACTCGAGGGTTGTAGAAAAAGGAGATACGAGCTATAGGTTTTTTATGTATAGCTTCTCTACCCATGACAAACCTAGTATCGTCCTCATAATAGTTTGGTACCTGACGGAAAAAGAGCTTTCATTGTTACCTGAAAAGAGCAGAATTCACGTTGTTTTTGTCACTTGGCACCTCTTTGGTAGCATGCTGATATGGATCTTGGAAGTTATCTATTTATACTTGCTAAACACAGTTCGAACATCAGTGGAGGATTTATTCCACCTTGTTTGTGTGTATAGTTTGATGTTCTCCTTGATAACTTGAAAGTTTCCAAAGAAAACAAATTATGGCCACATAAATGCATTTCTAGTGTTAGAAATTAAGCCCTTGTTTGGGATCCATTTTAATAAGGTTTTGAGAAAAATGTATTTTGGATTAGTTTTAGATTTACGTGTAATATTATTTTATTGAAGAATGTGGCTGGAAAAAAAATGTATTAAAATTAAAATGGAGTCCAGATAGGGGCTAACAATGAGTGCCTGTCTTGTTTCGGTTGAAAATTATGTTTTTTTTTTTTTTCCCTTTTTATTGCTTTTTATGATGGTCTATTCCGGATGGTATCAGCAATGGGTTAAATCCATGACCCGCACTGATTTGACTTCTTTCCTCATCTTGTTACAGATCTATTGAAGATTGACGTCGGGCTTAAGGATTGCGTGGAGAGTGATCGCATTGCCTCTATTGGTGGCATGGGTTATAAATGTAAATATTCGGGGGATCATAATCAGCTCCATTGGCAGATGTATAATGACCGATAAGATTCACAAGAACGATCGATTCCCTCACTTTGAATATGGTGTGTTTTAAGATTGAAAAGCTAACGAACTTCCAAGTAATTTTTAGTAGCTTATTCAAACTTAAATAATGTATATTAAGTTCAAATTTTGCTTTTGCTACTCTTGATGGTGTATGTTTTGGTGTTGCTCAACTGTTGTTATGCTGTGTACGTCTATGATTTTAATCGTGGGCTGAATTGACGACTCGTACGATATATAGACCCTTTGGCCACATTTTGTAAAATCACTTCTTTCCCAACTTACTTTCAAACATAAAGTTCCATGGAATTCAACTTTTTCACCACACGAGACATTTTCATGTAAAATGTTGAAAAATAAGGAAATTTTTTTTATTTATGTGTAATATTATTTTAATAAAGAAAGTGTCGTTAAAATAGAAAAAGAGAAACATATATTTTGAAAAAAATGAGTATCAAACGAAGACTTAATTAATGATTACTGTTGTAAGACAGTAATAACATAATATATTAATTATAAAGAAGGCTTATAATACCTATATTGCAATGCTTACCCACCTTGCTTTTAGCTCTTTTACAGACAGAAGTGGATCTAGGATTACAAGATAGGATGAACGCTGTTAACTCGCTGAAAATAAATTTGAGAAAACAAAAAGAACAAATCGACCACGAGAAAAGGCTATAGCAAAATTTAAAAAGAAAAAAAAAACCCGTCTAAAACCCAAACCCCTAGAGACAAGAAAACTTGTTAGAAGCTAAAAGGAATGGAAATGAGACGATAACAAAAGAAGAATGGGACATCATACTCCCTAAAATCCTAGAAGTTGATCTCTGTATTTGCTAAACTACGAGAACATCTTCTCAGGCTCTTATCACAGGCTTATCATATCGAGTTATAATTTCTTATGCAGTAAGACACTGAACAAGGCGGTCCAATCCCCCGCGAGGACACTATCAAATCTTAACATGCATATTCTGATCAGAGCAATCCCCGTAAAAGCACACCCTATTAGATCATCGACCGCCTTTATGCATAGCTGAATCTAGCAAGAATTTGCAACCCCATTAGCTAGGCTCTTCTCATGAACCACATCAGGATGTAAAGTTTTCGGGACATCAGAATTTGCAAGAGAATTATTCTCGGAAAGGTTGTCATCACCGGAAGCTTCATCAGGTGTAGTCTCCTTGACCACATCAGAAATAACTTCTGCAGAGTTGGATTTGATATCTCCATTTGTGTCTTCCTTTTTCACTTCAGCAGTTTTACCTTCCCACACCAGCGTCTGTAGAAAAAGAAGGCACATCACATAAAAGCTCATTTTCACAATAAAAAAGGGCATTCAAGAGAAACAAGCCCTCAGAGGCTCCAAATCCTTAATCTGACGCAACTAAATAACGCAATATAACGAATAGCTTGCCTGCTTCTGAAAGTGCTGTTGCTTGGCTTTCTTCTCCTGAATTCTCTTCTGGCGATCCTCATAGAACTCAAAATCATCTAACACACATTGTTTGCTTGGATGATCCTTGAATATTTTGAGCATTTGAAGCCCCTGCTCCAATTTAACCTGAAAAGGGAAACATCTTGACCTTAAATATACGGGAACCAATTTGTTTTTATTATTTCTTGCAACCACAAATAATAAATAATCAGAAATAGCAATCACTCAGTTAAGCAACAATTTACCTCTTGGGTATCCCTGCTATTAGTAACAGGTTTGTTCTCATTGTTTTCTAGGATGATGTGCTTCAGCAAGCTGTTGGGTACATCCTTCACAATGTGCCATTTAACAGGAAAACAACCAACCCACTTATCCTGCTGCCAGTACTCGACATTCTTGTTGAAATCGACATGCTCAATCATCTCGGCGACACCGACAAATTGCCCACTGGTATTTACCTAGAAAATGATAGAACAAACAAATATAAGGTAAAAATACTTAGTCAATAGATCACCACAAGTTCAATACAGATGCTTACTGAGAAGAAAAGGAAAACAGGGCAGCCTCCAGACTTCTGCTGAGCATCCTGGTAAGCTGCATCCAGCTTCTTATTACCGTTTGGTGTACTAGCCCAGACATTGTATTTGATGCTCTTGTGCACATCATCCTCGCTGTACGACTTAATAACAAAGAACTTTGCCTCAGTATAAGTCACAGGGAAATCCGGTTGGTTATATTGTTCTCGGTCAGGGGCCACACTTGACTTCTCCTCCTCGATATCAGCTGTTCCATTCAAAAGGGTGTTCTGCACTTTGCCAGCCGGAGCCACTTCCATAACACCCTTCTGATTCTTGGAGCTTTTTGTTCTTGGCCCCCTGTTTAATTCATTCAAACCATCCACGCTCTCACTGCCATATCCATAGAAGCCATTTCCTCTTCCCCTGGGTTTATACTTGCTGTCAACAGCAATATAACCACGACCATTTGTTCGTGAATCATAAACATTAGATCCATAGCCGAACCCAGATCTGTATGTGTTTCCATACTGGCCATATAATTTGTTGGGATACATTCTATTTATGTATCCGTTAGCTGTATTCATACCAGACATTGGCCTTGGGTGGTGCAAACCCTGTAGGTTAAACAATTGAAATTCCAGCAAGTTACTAGAGGTGATAACTAAATTTAAGATAGTGAACAATCATAAAATTCCAAAGACATGATATAGATTGACAACCAATTCATATTTCTTTCATTGTATAATATTAGTGTGGTTGAGAACAAAATCTTTACCCTCCCTCTAACTATTGGATGCATCGAATTTGTAATGCACAATGGTCATCCGTTCGATTCCGATAGCCGGCTTTTCCTTGAACAGGAAGATGCCTTCGGTGTTCCCTATAGTCGAGGGAAGGGGCGGCCTCACAATCAATTTAAAATAATGCAGGATATACACGTGTTATGAACAAGAATTACCTCATGGAACAATTATAATATTCATTAAAAACTGAAAAAACACTAGCTAAGTAATGGGCTATTATATACCATAAGATGAGGGCGGAAATTCTGATTCCTTGATGAGGGAAGGCCATTTCCATTTGATATGGAGGAAGTCAGAGAAGAGCCAGTTACAGGCCCATCCAACCATGGAATTGGTGACCGTGAACCATCGAATAAAAATATTGGGTCCTGATAACCAGAAGCAGGAATTCCTCCAGGAAAGCCACCCCGTCCATACATTCCATTAAAACCATAAGACGAATTTGGATATGTAGGTTTGGCAGCATTCAAGGCATTATTTTTCTTTATGCTCCCACTATTAGCAACGCCATTAGATTTTGCATCTACAGTAGCCACTGATAAAGATGCTTGGTCAGCAGCTGCAGAGGCCGATATGTCACCCTTGGTAGAGGCAGCAGGAGTAGGATACGAACCACTTGTTGCTGACTGGAAATAGGGAGTAGGGTACTGGTAATGTTGAGCTCCATAGAGTTGACCATCATGTCCGACAGTTGGAACAGGTGTAGTAGCAGGAGAATATGGCCCATAAGGAGCATAGCCATAGCCATGGTGATACATTAAAGACCCATTATCCCCATAAACTCCCTGAATTTGTTCAATAAAGGCACATAAGAATCGAGATTAATATGTGGAGTCTGATTAATCCATGGCAACAAATCGGAAACAGACAAGGAAAAATAATGCAGGATATACATATACATTAACAAATCACAAGCGATACTAACACATCATCATCTGCATATCAACGATACATAAGAGAACTTACAGGTGTGACTTCTACTCCCTCTGAATTCACATATGGTGCGTAGTCCTTCCACTCACTACCAGTCCCATCATAGCCTGCAAGTGTAAGAGCAAATTAAGTTAAGAAAGAATAAAAATATTACCAGCTTGAAGTTTGAATTGTAATTAGACAAGGCACAGAACGTTCAAATATCAAATTCCTGAAGAATAAACTTACCGCCATAATAGTATGCAGCAGAAGGGTAGCCATTAGGAAGATAGCACATAGACTGATCAACAAGATCCGGCAGCATGGGAGTCAAAGACCCATCCCTAGATTGAATGTGTCCAGCAGTCACGTTACCAGAATCAAAAGAAGGCTGCAAGAAGGGATAAATTTAATGAATCACACACATATAAACTCATGCACTGTACTAATCAATGCAGGTTATGCAGCCATCCATCGAGAGAGAAAAATTTCTTTGTCAAACATAGATTTTAACCTTTTTGGTTGGCTCTGGAATTTCCAGAGTTTTCGCCTGTGTCTCCAAAGACAATTTCTGTAGCAGGCCAGCAGCCTCTATATCAGATAAGTAAAGGATACAAATAGTCATCCAGTATAGCAAACGCTACATTTCTAATATACCAATAATGTCAATGCGAACTAAAATAAGTTAAAGCGGGTACACGCCTTGCTAATTCATAAATGCATTTGGATCCAAACTAAAAGCACACTCAGTTACTCAATTCCACCCGTCAGAATCTCCAGGATGGAAAAAAATGATTTTTTTTTTTTTTTAAAAAGTACTCCCAAGAATTCAAAGTTCAAATTTCAAACTGACACAGCCGGTACAAAAACCAGTAAGAAGTTACATGATTCTGAGAAGAAATAAGAGTACCGACCAGACCTGATCTTCAGCCATGAGTATTTTCAAAAAAAAAATAGAAAGGTAGTAAATCTCTATAAGACTTTTTTTTTTTTTTTTTCAAAACAACACATTCAAATCTCCCAGAGAAACAGAACCTCCACGTAATACCAAACACAACAAATAAAGAATAAAACAACAATAATAGAAGAATAAACATTAAACAGATTAAACATTTGACACCCCGAATTTCCAGATGTTCAACACCCTCAGATCTACAATTAACAAACCACCAAAATCACGACAAACCTCAACATAAAACTGTGCAAATACACACATATATAGCAAACCTCAATCAAATTCAATCGTGCAGGTGTCAAAAAAGATTAAAGAAAGCGAACAAAGTAAAAAGGATACGATCTGGAGGAGCAAAGGCCGCCATAGACTCTGAACTGACAGATCTCGCTTCTTTGAGAGAGGGATGGGGTTTTTAGAGGGAGAAAGAAGGTGTTAAAGAGTATCAGCCGCCACCAGGATCGAGGGTTTGGGTTTAGAGTCCAAACGGGGAAGAAAGAGAAGACTCTCGAAGAGGGTTTTTCTCAGACCTAAATTGGTGATTCAAATAGATCGCGTAAACGACCTTGTTTCCTTTTTAGTCCCTGCATTTTTACATTTTTTACGGATTCATCCCCTCGTGTGATATTGATGTCTGATGGGACCATTTGATTCCTGATTGGTTGAGTCATCCACGTGGCTGTGAATGATTGGTTTCTTTGCGTAATTGGACGACTTGGAGTTGGTGTTGATACGCGTTGGAGAATTTCTCGTTTTCGTAACAGAAAATACACAAAAACTAAACAAAAATAAGCATGATTAACCAAATTTTTGTTTTTTGGGTCTTTGTTATACTCAAAATTGACATTGAACTACAATACTAGTTAGACATGACAAGATAAATCATGGTTCACACCTGATTAAATATACTTCAAAATGAGTTAAGTATTGTCGAGCTAGAAAGTTTAAGCTTTTAGCCCATGTTACGAAAGATTAAGATAAAAATGTTGAATCTCTTGTATAGGTAATATAGCACAATAAAAACTCGTTTATATCAATTGCTTATACGTGGTTGTAGTGGCATATATGAACAGGACTTGATTGTGTTACTTTTAGTGATTATTTCAAAACTTTGCATTATCTTGCTTGAAGTGGACTCGAATAATTATCCAATAATGACATATTTTATGTCAATTTTTTGGGCTCTTTACTTGTGCTTTGCTTGATTGATAGCTTTGTCCTCGACCAATTCACATTTGTGGCAATCTAAGTCACTCGCCATAGTCAATAGCCTAGACAATTTATTGTCATTTATATACGTTGGTGGTTGTACTTGTCACTTCCTCCAACTTATAGTAATTGTGTTTATCTATGATGGATTGTGGGGTTATTGCTGATTGTTTATAATCTCAATATAACTAAATAGCATTATTCTTGTTTATGCAAACAACCTACAAAGATGTTGTGACTAAATGTGGCATGTTCCAAGGATGCAAATATTAGGCTTTTCTATCAAACCCTTGTGCACACATTCATGAATATGGATATCCTTCGTGTATTTTGATGAAGTTGTAAGGAACAAAGGAATTCTGAACTTGAGACCGATTAATATCCTAGGGTAATGTCTTTTCCAAATTAGGCTAACAGGAACAACTAAGAGGTTTACGATTCATGTAGTCTTGGTTTTTTATATTGTGTACTTCGGATCATATGAAAAATCTTATACTAGAGTCACTAATGAAGAAATGTCCACAATTGTAAAAAAAAAACAAAAATCAAGAGCACGTAGCTATAAGAAATAGAAGAAGACGACTAAGCTAACAAAATTACAAAATCATATCATGAAGGCATTTCTTTTAAGAAAATACAAAGCATCGTAGTTGGGAAAGAACAATATCCATTACCTAAAGTTTAATTTGTTGAAATGTTCACTCACGTATCAAGGCTGTACATTCTTAAGCTAATTGCTCAATTAGAGCTAAATGGTTTCTAGCGCAAAGAAAAATGTTGTATTATTAAGCGGTTTCTAAAAAAAACCAAAAGTTAAACCTCAACCTTGAGGACCCATCGTCCCGCCGTTGAAGTTTTGTGAGAGAGGTAAATAAAGGAATGTGCCCTAACAGGTCAGGAAACAAGAGCTGTCTGTATACTGCGCTTATAAAGAGTCAAATTTCATGTCTCAAGAATCGAACATCCACATTGCGATTGTCAGCAATGCGTGAAATAACTTCACTCCTATCTTTTGCACAACTTGACTATCCTCCGAGAGGCTAGTAAGCAATTTCTATTACACAATAAGAAAGGTCAAGGCTTATTTATTAAAGCGTGGGCCACATGGCTACACGTGACTTTTGATATTTGTAATATGCGATTAGATTGTTTGGATACTGGTGAATTTGAGGGACTTCTTGCAAATGAATTAGATCGTCCATCTTCATTCCATCATTAAGTATTAGTTATTAGGTTGGTATGAAAACATGATTTTGTCTGTTCTGTTTTCTCCTTGGTGCCAAATTCAAGTAGAATGACGTTAAACAATGCAAAAGTTTAAATTCTTGTTTGATTCTCATTCTTTTAAAAATTCTTTTTTTTTTCCAAACTCATTTTCAATCACACATTTTTCAATAAAATAATATTATACGCAAATTCAATTTTTTTTTTAAATTTTTAACCACACATTTTTCATCAATTTAGTATTTAAAATGAATTATTTCTCTCCAAAATGGGAATTAAACAAGGGCTTAGTCTGAAGATCAAATGGACAAAGTAAAATGTTAGGTTGCATTTGGTTTATTGTTTTCAAGCCATTTTCACGTTTCAATCTCGTAGAACACTAAAAAGGTCTAAAAACGTGATAGGTTTGTTATTTTGAAAATGCATTTTCAAAAAACAATGATAAATTTATAATATAAAACTCACGATGCATTTTTAATACTTTAAGTGTTCTAAGTGCAAATTCTGAAAACACTCAAAATATGATAAATGAGAGTTTAAATAAAATTTTAAAACTTAAAAATGTTAAAAAATAAAAATATAAAATTCTAACAAATAAAATTATAAAAAATATCAAAATGAAAATATCAAAATAGTAAATTTAAAAAATTAAAATCTGAAATTTTTAAAAAATACATTTTAAAAAAATTAAAATTCAAAAAATAAAGATTATAAAGATTTCTAAAAAAATAAAAATTATATAAATGAAACTAGTTCTAATGATTGTTTACATAAAAAATTTTAAAAAATTATTTAAAGTAACACGGACAAAAATATTTTAAGTCCACACATTAGTTTATTTATTTTATTTTCTATATTTTAAAATTATTTTTTTTACTTTTTTTTAGTGAGAAAAATATTATAAAATTTACCAACTTTAAAATGTACATAATACTTGATAGTATATTAGCGTGAGACTGTTCTTTTTCTATTGAATGATCGAACTTAATGGAATAGAGTGTAATAGAACAAAATTTCAAAGTAAACATGTTTTCTAATTTTTTTGTTTTGTTTTGAGAAATAAATTTTCAAAATGACAAACCTAAAGCAATTTTAGAAATCTCAAATAATATACTCAAAACAGAAAATAAAAAATGAACTCAAAACTGGAAATTGAAGTACAAACCAAACGAACTTGTATTATCGTCAAAAGTCATAATAAGTGACGTACCTTAATAATTCAAATCCATGTAAAAAGAAAAATATTATGGAAAAGTACACTTCCTTCCCCCTCCCCCAAATTTTGCCTCGAACTCAATAATTATTTGAAGGCACTAATTTTCCATTTAGGAAAATAGAACAAGAATTTATTCGATGAAGCATCGACAACGAAATAAAATTTACGTAAAACAATAACAATACGAGTATTATCTCATGTTCTACATATTAGTGGACTTGTTGACGTTGGAAAGTAGAAAGTTGCTTGTAAAAGAATTCAATCATGACTCTTTTAAATTTTTATGAATTTTTTAAGTGATAATTTCTGCTAATTTGTGGATTTTTATGGAATTAATGAATGTCTTTCGTAGACTTATAAACTTTTATAATTTTTTATAGAATTCAAAATATTTTCGTAGTCTTCAATTTAAAATAAAATTCATATGAGTCTACATCAACAGTATGCAATTTTTATATACAAGCTAATTGTTTCCACAATTTTCTTTCACGCATCCGTACAGTAAAAAATATTTTTAAAAGAATATGAATTTTGGTCATCTTAATCAAATAAATAATAATCAAAATAATACATATTCATAATAAAAAAATCAATAATTAGTGTTATCGATATAACATATTAAAGAGTAATCAATAAATCAATATATTTAAATTTAATTATAAATCAATCTTTTTTATATAAAATACTGCAATTTTTAATTAAAAATAGATATTTTTCTTGATGAAAAAAATAAAAGAAAGAGAGTTATAATAATATTTAGTTACAATTTAACCTTTTTCCATAGGAAATAGAGATTAAGCGAGAGAGAGAGAGAGAGAGAGAGAGAGAGGAGGAAAATAGAAATAAACGTAACCTATAGAAAAAGATAATTTTTAATCATGACTTTAGTTTCATGGAAAGAAAAAAGAAAGATAGATATTGAAAGAAATAAAAAATACATATTATTATTATTTTGTGAGTCTATCAAAATTTTGATATTAATAGGCAGATTTTGAGATTTTATTTTAGTATTTTCTATTTAAAAGTTAGCACCATAAATTTTTTTTATACAAGTCATTAACAATTTGAATACTCCAAAATTTAAAGAAATTTCTAAAAAAATTTAATTGAATACACCTTAATTTATAAGGACTTTTTAAAAATCTATAAAAAAATGTGAAAATTACATAAACACGTGCATTTTAATTACAGGATGCAAAAATTAGGTGAAAATAACTTTTAATCAAAACACAAGTATTGAGTTAATATCCCAAAGAAATCCTAAATCATTTTTCTCCTAAAAACTCGTCTCTCTCTCTCTCTCTCCCTCTCTCCCTTTCCTTCCGCCTTTCCCTATTCCTCTCCTCTCTCTATCTCGACCTACCCTTCCTCTCGCTGTGTCGACGTTACAGCCACCATCATCCAGCGTGGCGCCACCATCTTCTCAACCTAGCAGTCCCCTTATTTCGACGACTTCAAATGACAGCAGCACCAGCAGGCAATGGTGCTTACTACTCGAAGAGGCGAAGCAGTAGCACCACCACGAAAAACCTGGCTGCTGGGGGTGCCTTGCTGCGAACATTGCTGCTACGCACAGTGAGGCAACGCTACTGCATAGTGAGGCCTCGATTTTTTGGGATTTTTTTTTTTAGTCGATCTACTATGGGAGGTTTTTTTGTTGGTGATTTTCCGATTAAATTTATTGCGATGGCTTGTTGGTAGCTGTGGTGGTGGTGGTGGTGGTGAAAGTTGGCTAGGCTTTCGATGGTGATGCAGATTACGGTAATGTGATGGTGCTAGTGGATCTAGTCGTTTGGGGTTTTGTTGAATTTGGCTAGTGCTGGGGCGATGATGTTGTGTGTTTGTGTCGTTTTTGTTGTTGATGGTGGTTGTGG